GCTGTCCCCTCTGCTGGGCTGGCAGGGGCCTGGACTGTTGGCAGGGGGGTCTCAGGGTGCAGAGCAGAGCAGGTCCCCTCCCCAGCAGGAGGGCAGACCTTCCACAAAAAACCCCGAGGGCATTGAAATTACAAAAGAAAACACCAACTATTTTGGGATTCCCATGGAAATGGCAACATATGCTGAACGTTAAACATCAGCCCCTACCAAAAGTAGAGCTATTCTGGGCCCATCCTGAAGATGCAGGGAGAGCTGATGCCTCCCTCCCTCCCTCCCTCCTCCTGGGAGCTCCTTGCCAGGTCCATCTGCAGGTAGCAAAATGCTGGCCAGGAAGATTCCATCCACCTTTGCCACTGGTTGGGTGTTTCATAAGGTCTCTGGGAAGCTTAAGCAATGTTTTGAGGGGAGAGGGGCTCCTCCCTGCTGGCATTTGGCCCTTGCCTGGCTTAAGGCAAGGGTTTGTTTGTGTCTGTGTTGTAAAAGGATGTGGGTTGTATTCCACCACAGTGATTTTGTTCACAGCTAGTAATTGCTGGTTAAATCTGGTCAAATAATGGTTGTTAGCAGGGCCTGTTGGAGCACAGATAACTTCAGATATTATCCAAGCAGAGGAGCAGTGGGGGCCGGGGTGCACTGGGATATCAGCGCTGCTGGGGAGCCGTCATCAGCACAGCCTGGAATAAGCTCCTTAGGATTATTTTGGCCAAGTTTCCCAGTTATCACCATTATTATTATTGCTTTACTTAGCAAATGCAAAGGCTGTTTGACCAGGTAAGGAGTGCAATGCACTGGGTGGGCTCAGCCAAGGCTCCCCAGCAGTGGAGGGCAGGGATCTTTGAGGGGAGGCTGCCAGGAGCTGTGTGTCAGCCAGGAGCCCGAGCCCCCAGCCAGCCAAGGAGCCAGGCACACGTTGCTTTTCAATTAACCCCCTTCCCATGCACACAGCCATGCTGCAGCTAAGCTCGTTGGAAGAAATAAAAAATATGTTTCATGCTTCCCAGCCAGGGGAGCTGAAGGCAGGGAGTCAGCCCTGAGGGATGGAGGGGTCTCTTCCAGCAGTGTTGGCATCCCCTGGCAGTGTGGATACCCCTCAGTCCAGCCCCTGAAGGCAGACTGAGCTGGTGGTGTCTGCTGGCACCTTCTCCTGCCTACAGCTGTCAGGACTTTCAAGCTTAAAAATGATTGGGAAAAGCAAAATTCCAGCTAGGGCCGTGCAGGCTGGTGTCACCTCCCTGGGGACACTGACAAACCTCCCTGTGCCACCTCTCCGAGGTCAAGGATGAGATCCAGAGGTAGTGAGGGCTTTAATTTGGCACCAGCAGGGCAGGGGGGCTCAGAGAAATTTTGAGTAAAAAGAAATAAATAAAGAACCAGAGGGTGAATCCCTGGCAAGCAATGGGATGTGCCAGCCTGCTGCTGTGCTTTCCATTTGGAAATTAATTGATCAGACTGGGATCAGCCCCTGCTCTCCTGGGTTTAAACCTGGAACAGCAGAACCTGATGCTCAGCATTTGTAAGGAAATTTGTTGAAGTGTGTCCTGAGGACAGCCTGTGGTTTTGTGTGTGTGTTTAATCCGTGTGCTGCAGTTTTGGGGGCTGTAGGAACATTCCTCCTTTTTGCCCATTTGCAGGGCAGTTCCAGAGGAAAACTGGCACAGGGAGAGTGAGTGCCACAGGCTTTTTCTGGGTGTACTTAAACCTGTGCTTGTGCCCCCTGTTCAGGAGAACATTTAAAGTAAAACCTTGGTGTTTTCAGAGCCTGGGCTGGAGTTGGAGTGACAGCTCCTGCATCCCACACCCCAAGCGCAATGTCACTGAGCTCAGGATCTTGTTTTCTGGGGAGAAAACATGGATTTTGACAGGGACAATTGCTCTTGCCTCTCATCCCATCCCTGCTCTGATGCTGGCTCTGTGGTGGCCACCTCCCCCTTCCCTGCAGGCTGTCCCCCCTTCCTACAGACATGTCTGTGCCCTGACAGAGTGGCTTTGCTCCCTGCCAGGCAGAGCTGTGGGTTCAAACTGACATTTTAACATTTCAACTCTCTCTCTTCTTCCTGGGGGGCTGGTGGGGAAGGCAAATTCCCCTCTGAGGGCAGCAGAGGCCACGTGCGTGGGCAGAGCGGCTCTGGATGGCCCCAGCAGAGCCAGGGATCAAACCAAGTCACATTCCAGGGCATTAGACAGACGGTGGGAATTAAGAGCTTTACCTGGAAACTGGCTTTGTATCTGCAAGCCCTGCTTTTGTCTTCCAGCCCAACTTTCTATTTTTGTCCCTTTCTCCTTCAGTGTTGTTGTGTGTGACACATTTGGGGAGCCCTGGGTACCTATGGGGCTGTTTCCAGGGGGAAACAGGCAGGATGGGAAGGTAGGAAAAGTGTGCTTTATCAAGATCAAGCTGCTTTGGGACTTGTTAAAGGCTAAGGAAAGGCTCCAGCTGCTTTCTGTAGGCTTGGGATCGGGCAGGGACTACAAAGTCCCACCTGGGCTGTTAGCAGTGAGTCTTGGTTTTGGTTTCTCTCAGTCTGTAGGGCTGGTGATGGGGCCTCCCTTAGGGTTGACACACCTGCCCAGCTTCAGGGAGTTGGTCTGCTTCAATTCTGCCTTTTTTTGTCCCCTTGTTGCTCTTCTGAATCCCTGGATGAGCTGAGCATCTCTCACTTGGTGCTGCTGGGCCCTGATCCTGGCTGTGGATGCAGGAGGAAGAAGAGCTCAGAGGTTCACCTTAATTCCCAGAGCCTTGATTTTCTGTGCTGTAAAACAATCTTTGCCTGTTTGGGTCTTGGAGGAAACATTTGAAACGATGATGCTTTTGTAATGGTAGTAACAGCATTAGGCTCTCACATGTAACTTGATTTTATTTATTTATTTATTTGCCCTTTCTTGGAGGAAATTGCTGCTATTTTCTGGGCATCGGGCCCAATTTCTGCTTCGTTCTGTCTGAGTCCACACCACACCCTGCATGCTGCACCCAAAGATGGAGCCTGAGTGGAGGAGCACACCCAAATCCAGAGGTACCTCCTTGTGCTTGCCGTGATGTTTCCACCCAGCATCAGCCCACCTGCAAGATTTTCAGCCTCCACATGCAGAGCAGGTGGCATTTCCCTGTGAATTAATGTCCTGGGAGTCCTTGGATGTGGGAAGGGGGTTAAACTGTCTGAGACTGGATCTGCTGATAGACCTGCAACAGGCGGGAGCCACCTCAGAGGGAAAATACAGCAGGGACACAAAGGAGCAGTGAGCTGCCTCCTGTTCTCCCAGGTCATTAGATCATCCTCAGATGTGCTTCACGTCTGGGTACAGAGCAGTGACAAGTTTGGATGCTTCAGGAGAGAAACATTCACTTCCCTGTGAGGAGTAAATTAGGTTCGTTTGCCTGGTGTCAGCGTGTTATGACTCAAAGACGTGCATTAACATTTACCAAAATCTGAATGAAAGCTGAACTCTGCTGTAGACTGAAAGGTTGGGTGTCATTTTGTTGGGGTTTGGGGGAAATCCTCTGAAGAGCAGAGCTTTGTTTTTAATAATCACCTGCCTGCCAGGCTGCAGGAGACTGCAGCTCTGTGTGCATGGCTAAGGGATGTGGCAGGTTACCTGGTGGGCCTGCCTGTGGGCAGCTGGACATGGTGGTGGGTGACCAGAGCATGCCAAGTGTCCCAGCCTCGCACCAGACCCCCCCAGAGCTCAGCCAGCAGAGAGGCTGCTCCTCTGAAATACTTCAGACACATTTTCCTGGGCAGGGTGAGTTACTTGGACAGGATTTTGCATCATTTTCTCGCCATGTTTCTCTTCTGGCACTCCTTGCTGAAAAGAAGTCCACTCCCAGCAGCTTGTGAAGCCACAGATTTATTGATTTAAACACGGAGGGGGGGATGAGTAAAACCAGCAGTTTGAGACCAACACCCTGAGCAAGGCACTGCTCAGCATTTTCCAGGGAGCCTGTGGCAGGAGCCTGTCCTGTCCTGGCTGGTGCTGGGGCCCTGGCCATGCCCAGGGAGGGGCAGGAGGGGTGCTGAGCATGGCCACAGTGGCACTGAGCCCTGGCCCAGCCCGTCCCTGGCCCCTCTGTGATGCTGCACCAGCCCCCTGGCACAGCCACACGCCGGCTGGCAGGGGCTGTGCCACCCGGGCCACGAGCAGGGCACATGTGTTGCTTCAATCCCGGGTGTGTTCCCGGCTCCAGAAGCTCATCCAGCCGGTGCTGAGCTCTGGAAGGGACATTGCTGTGGGCTGGGGCAGCAGGGATCCGAGCCGGGGCTGTCCCTGTCCCTGTGAGCCGCGGGGAGCGGGCAGCGGTGCCACCCGTGCCCCCGGCTCGGGATGTGGCACGGCATCTCCCTGGCACAGCCTGCGGGGCTCTCGGGGTCCCTGGGGGCTGTCACTGTCCCTGGGGGCTGTCACTGTCCCTCTCCACATCACCCCGGGATGTGACACATCAGTTCTCTGGCTCCTGACCCTGCCCGGTGACCTCAGTCCCCCCGGAGGGGTCTGGCAGGGACCAGCCCTGCATTTACCAGGGAGACGAATCAAAGCCCACCTCCCTTCACCCCATCACCCCAACTCCTGCCGGGGGCCGTGGCTGGGCTGGGGAAGGGGCAGGGGCCGGCTGCCCGCGCTGCTGGCCGTGCTGCCGGGGCGGCAGGCCGGCCACAGCCCTCATTCCTCCGCTGCTGGGAACCGCTTTGTTGCTAGCTGGTGACATCACCCGAGAGCCCACCCCCTGCCTCTTATCCGTCTCTCTGTCTCGCTCATTTATTCCCAGGCAGCGCTGGCAGGATCAGGGGCTGTGCGAGCGCCAGGGCTGGCAGCAGCAGCATGCGTGCGGCGAGCGAGGCTCAGGGCGCCACAACCACCTAAGGGGCCCGGAGCCTCCTCATCCTCATCCTCATCCTCATCCTCCTCCTCCTCCTCCTCCTCGGGAGCCCCCCGCAGCCCCCGGCAGAAACTTCCCTCTCCCGCACTTCGGGCTTCTCCGGGGGGGCTTGGCAGCGACAGCCGCATGCATGACACTCCGAAAAGGAGAGAAAATGACCATAAGTATCCAGGAGCACATGGCCATTGACGTCTGCCCCGGCCCCATCAAACCCATCAAGCAGATCTCCGACTATTTCCCCCGCTTCCCCCGCGGGCTGCCCGCCGCCGTCGGCCGCAGCAGCAGCGCCCTGCGCCCCGCGCTCAGCCAGCCCTCGGTCAGCCCCGCCGAGCCTCCCCGCGAGGATGAGGAGGATGTGGACCAGCTCTTCGGAGCCCACGGAACGACGCCCGCAGAGCAGCCGGCCAAGAGCCAAGCGCCCGACGAGGTGGTGGACCCCGAGGGCTACGAGTCCGACGATTGCAGTGAGTTGCTAAGTTTCCAGGGGAGTTTGCTCGGTGCTGAGGGCGTGGGTGGGTCTTAGGGCTGCTTGTGCATCTTGGGGAGCCCTTGCAGCCGCCGCTGGGATCGCGCCGCAGCAGGGAGATGCTGCCGGGTGTAGCCGGGGGGGCTCTCCCGGCGCTTCCCGGGGTGGAGGGGCCCTGGCAGTGTCCGTGCCGCAGCCAGGCTGGTGCTGAACCCAAAGTAGGGAAGTCTCCCAAGAGCCACCAGTTGCTGTCGTGGTTGGTGCACTTCTCTGCCTCGCCCCTGCTCGGCTCCGTGCCTCCAGCCCTCCGGCCGGGCTCAGAGCCTTTTAATCGGGCTCGGTGGTGCAGGCTGCTCCAGCCACCCTGCCGATGAGCTGGCGATAGGCTCCGGCATCTCCCGGCTCCACAGCGGGGAGATTTGTCGGGAATGACATCGCCCCGGCCAGCTCTGCCCTCTCCCTCGGCAAACTCTGGCGTGTCATCCCTCCATTCCTCACGGAGCCCTGCAGGAGAGCGGGGGCCCTTTGGAGCAGAAGGCTTTGGCCGTGCTGGATGCAGGTGTTTGCAGCAAGGGTTAACCCCTCCCCACCCAAAACGTCCTTCCCAGCCGGCGCCGTGGAGCTGCAAGGCAGCCGCTGCCTGGCTCTGCCGGCCAGGGCCGGGGATAACCCGAATTCCCTCGGAGTTACAGAAACCCCAAGGGCTCCATTCAGCCCAGCCTTGGGGCCAGATCCTGAACGCAAAGTTTGGAGCCGGGAGATGCCGGGGGAAGGGAGTGGGTGCTGCTGCGTGCTCGTCCTGGGGGAAGGGGAGGCTGAGCCGCTCAGGGCCCAGCGGTGGCTTTCCCTCGGCGGAATGTCACAGCCCGGCCTCGGCATCGCTGCCGGCCACCGGGCTGCTGCCATTTATTCCATTCATACCCCAGAGTGTGATCCCAAGGAGGGGTCCCCGAAGGGATGCGCTGCTGCAGGGTGGCACGGCTGTCCCCGTGTCCCTCTCTGGGCACAGCCCTGCGAGAGGCTGTGCTGGGTGCCAGCCCCAAAGTGGCACACTCTCTGTCCCCGTGCTGGTGTCGGGGTCACGCTCTCCGCGGAGAGGCGACAGCTCTGGCAGTGCCAGGGAGAACATCTCTGCTAAGCCGCGTTTGTCCCAGCCGGGCAGTTAACGGGGACTTTAACCGGCTTTGGGTCATTAGCTGCTCTAATTATCCCATCGTGGCAGTAGAAACGGGAGAAACCGGGCTGCAGGGCCGGGGGGAGTGTAGCACTGGGGGCTCAGAGTGCAGCGTTTTCTCTGGGTGACTCGCATGGAAATTGCCCAGGGCTCTGCATTTTGCATTTTATCCCTTGGCAGTGCTGGATCCTGGGTGCTGGATGGTGGATCCTGGGTGCTGAGTGCTGGATCCTGGGTGCTGGGTCCTGGGTGCTGAGTGCTAGATCTTGGATCCTGGATGCTGGATCCTGGGTGCTGGGTGCTGGATCCTGGGTGCTGGAAGCAGCTTGGCTCCGTGCCGAGGCCGGCGGGTGTTTCTCTCACCCAGGCTGGTGTTAGGAAGTGTTTCCTGCAGCGTAACAGGTGTCAGGCAAAACTGCTGAGGCTGTTTTGCCAGAGGTGTGGTGGGATTTTGGATGGCAGAAGCACAGTGAGCAGAGCAGGGAGGTGGCAGTGCTGGTGTCACATCTCTGGGGACAGCACAGGGTGGCCCAGACACCCTGAGGACACTGGCTGGCATGAATGTGCAGGATGGGACTGTCACTCCTCCATGTTCAGCAGCCAAGTTGTAAATCCAGGCAAGAGCTGCCTGTACCCATTCCCCAGGCTGGGAGCAGGGAGGGGATCCTGCAGCCTGACTGGAGCCATCAGCCACGCTGGGGAGTGTCGTGGAGCTCCCCCACATCTCTGGAGGGTGATTCAGGGCTGCTGCATTAGTCACCTGCACTAAATTTCCCCTGGAGAACCTGTCTGTGCCTGCACGTCAGGACAGCGCTGGGGTGTCGGTGGTGTCAGTCCCCTTGGGGGGCACACGGGGTGCAGGGGGCTCAGGGGGCCTCTGGGGATGGTGGTGTCAGAGCTGGGTGCAGCACTCACAAATTGAGGTTTTGCCAGGCAGATCTCTCCTCACTCCTCAGAGATGCTCCCAGCCCAGCTCTGGAGAGGTTCAGGGAGAGGGATTTTGCCGTGGCAGGATCCATGGGGAGGAGGAGGAGGAGGATTGAACGGCTCCCTCCTGTTTGTCCCACCTATCTGTGGGTTTCCCTCCTCCAGTGCCAGGGCGATGCTCCTGGGTGGGAGGAGGAGAGCTGCCCCTGCCTGGAGAAATGCAGCAATTGTCTGGGTTTCCCCAAGCTCCTTCCTGCCTGGAGTTACTGCTCCAGCCTGGGCGTTCTGGGGTTTTTCCAGCAGGACCTGAGCTGCCATCCCAGCCCGAATTCCAGAGCCCCAGCAGGGCTGTGGGGAGAGGGCAGGGTAAGTCCTGCCTGGCCCTGCTGCTGCTCACCTGGCTGCACCCTGTTCTTTAATCCTTTGCTGAGCTGTGCTCCAGACCCCACCAGCAAACCCTGTTGTGTCTGTGGAGGCCGTGGGAGCTGCAGTGCCTGCTGCCATCCAGGGAGGGTGGCCTGACCCAGGTGTGGCACCTGGTGTGGAGCAGGGATGTGGCAGGGGGGATGTGAGTGCGTGCATGGAATTGGTGCTCTGGAAAACCGAGAACCCCCAGGCTGAGGAAAGCAGGTAGAATCCTCGCAGAGATGGGCAGGGACCTGGCTGAGCTGGGAGGACAGGTGGGGACAGCCATGGGAAGCTCAGGTTTGTGGTTCTGGACGCCTCTCCAGCAGCCTGTTGAATGCAGCGAGTGGCAGGGAGCAGGCAGGGAACCAAAACAGCAAAAAATGAGTGGAGACATCTGGGCTGGCTCTGGGATCACTGGGAATTTCATGGAGCCAGCTTTTCCCATCAGACCTGCCAGCAGTGAGGGTTTGCAGGGTTGTGGTGGGCACCCACTGCCATCCCAGGGCCCTTGGGAGACCCTGGCAGAGGGACTCACCGCTGCCCTGGCAAAGCAGGACCCTTCCTGCAGCAGGTTTGTCCCCAGCAGAGCTGCTGAGGAGGTGGAAGGAATGAGGCAGGAGAAGTGGGAAATGTGTATTTGCTGCAGAAGGATGGTTTGGTGCTGTTGGACCAGCATCTGCTGTGAGCTGAGAGGACCAGGCAGGAGGCTGGGAGGGGGAATTGGCTCCTGCTGCCTCAAGACACCTGGCTGTCACCTCATTTTTGGCTCCCCTGGCTGGTACCCTGTGACAGCAGCAGCTCCCTGGGGTCCCCAGCCACCAGGGATGCTTCCCACCCAGCACAGTGCCAGGGAAACTTGGTGTGCAAGGAAAAGAAGCAAATGCCAGCTAGATGGCAATGTGCCACCTGCGAGGAGCTGGCTCTCGCCTCCCATCTCCACCGATTTCACCCAAATGCTGCTGCCCCTCCACTGCCTGCACCTTCCCCTCCTCAGCACCAGCAGGAATGTGTACCTGAGGGATTTTTAAAGAAAGCCCTGCACGAGCAGAGGTAGAGACAGGCCCTGAGAGGGAGCACTGCCAGGGCTTCTCGCCAGGGATAGCCCTGGAGGGAGCAGCCATCCTCCTTTCACAGGCAATCAAGTTTCCAGCCCTTGGAGAAATGCCCCGCTCCCTGAGCTGCTGTTTGGCTTTGGAAAGAGGCTCTGGTCACACTGGAATTCCTTTTCTCCTCCAAATGTGTTTGGCTCTGAGTTTTCAGGTGAGGAGAGATCCTGGGAGCCACGGGCTGCAGCGGGAGCCGGTATCCCTGGAAATGCTGCCCCATTCTGCTCCTGCCAGCGCTCTGGGACTGTTCCTGTGTACACAAACCCATCCAATTCCACCTCTTGCCCAGTTTTATTCATGGAAGAGCAGCCTCCTGAGCTCTGGAGCTGCAGCAGCATGAAAACCACTTCTCCAAAGTGCAGCTGAGAGGCCAGTCCTGGTGCGCGGCGGCTCGTGACGCCTGCAGCGCCACACAAGTTATTTAGGATGACTCTTATTTTGAGCAAAGAAGATAATTAGGCAGGCAAAGCCATCACGGAGATATTAATTACTGGCTGCTTGAAGATGTAAAGAAAGAGGAAGGTCTGAAGGGGTGCAGGGTTTGCAAGTCACCTGGCAGTGCTTTTGGCCAGACAGGGGGAGGCAGAGGAGACGGCGAGGAACGAGCAGGGTATTTACTTCTGAAACACAGCTCCTTAGCATATGCTGCCACTGCTATTTATAAGCTTTGAATCGTCTTTTCAATCCAGATAAGGCCAAAAGAAGTATTTTTCTCGCTCAGGAAACTAAACAAACCACCACAGATTTCAGCAGAGCACGGCTTTGCCAAGCAGAGCACAGCCCCAGCTGCCTGTGCTGGAGAAATGCGAGCAGCTACTGGGCAGGGTCACACCGAGGTGTCCAGGGGGTGACTCTGGACCAGCTCCTGCCTGCTTTCCTGTGGGACAGACAGATATTTGGGATGTGCTGCTGTGGGGGAGCTCTCACACCTTCCTGCTGACCATCCCAGCAGTGATCCAGGCGCAGGCTGCACATCCTGGTCCTGCGAGGAGCCTTCCTCTTCCCAGGGATTGCCCACGGGCAGAGACACCCCAGAGTGCTCAGGTGAACATGGGGCACCAGGAGAGGAAAAAACACGAGGGGATGAGCAGGGTTTGTCTGGGCATCCCTCCTCCAACACCCAGGGAAGCAGCATATGGGCTGTGGCCTCTGGCACCTCTGCTAATGAAGGAGCCCCGCAGCTGCTGGATAACGAGGTTCCCTCCTCCCGCAGCCTGCCCAGCCCTTCACCTTTCCCAGATCCAGGAGAGACAGAGCTGACACCCCTTGTTCCACCATGCTGGAGCCCAAGGGCTTCCCTGATCTCTCCTCTTTGTATTTAACACTGAAGGCAATTTTGGGGGGGTTGTTAATTGCAATATTGTACTTCATTAAAGGAGGAGAGCGGGAGAGATTTGAAGGCCATCTCTAAACTGAAATTGCTGAAAGTCTAATTGCTGCTGACATCAGGGACCATTTAGTGCTGTAAAACGTAATTGCATCTCTGAACTGTTCTGAGCAGATAAGTGTTCCTCTGAACACTCCTCCTGGAGAAGACAGAAGAGCTGATGAGCATCCATCAACCAACCCCATGAAGAAGCAGCTCCCTGCTCCAGAGCTTACCAGGGGCTGGCGCCGCTTCTCCAAAATGAAGAAATATTAATTGCTGCAAATTTTAAGTGAAAAACCCACGGCCAGGCAGGGAACATTGCAAGAGAGAGAAGTTGTGTTTGTTCCTTGCTCCTGGATCTCCTGAGGAGGGAAGGTCTCCTGCCTGTGTGCTGGATCTGGTCCCTGCTGGGGTTTTTTGTAGGATTGGGAATGTCCTGCCCTGCTGGCAACAGATCAGAGTCCTGTGGTGTGCCACTGGGTGTGTTCAGGGAGGCAGGAGCACACACACAGCCACCCACCAAAATGTTCTTCTAGCAGCTTGGCTTGGAAATGGCAGGAGATAATTTCTGTTCCTCCTGAGGAGTCATTTACCAACATTTTATATGGGGCTGTAAGTGCACAGAATTACCTGCTGCCTTTCAGGACCTTTAAAATTATCTCCATTGCAAGGGAAAATTAAAGCAATGGAAGAATAGGGACCTATCTTTTATAGTGCATTAAAAAATACCCAGTCTGAAGGTTACTGAACCTGTGCTTTCTGTAAGGGAGAGCTAATCCAGACAATCCCCAGCAGTCTTTTTACTGCTCCACTCTGATCTCCCTGGCACAAAATCCGTGAGCAGATTATCTTGGGAGCAGCAATGCTGATAAGCAGAGGGACTTAAGGCTTTTTGGACTTCTTTTTAATTAGTTCTATAGTGGGGTTTTTGTCTGCACACCTCAACTTCTCCTCCTGTGGAGCTTTGCTGGGCTTTCTAATGGCAGTCACACCTGCCTTGGGAAAGTAAGGAGTGTGCTCCATCATCGCTTCCAGGCTTTGCTGAAGCTTTTTCTGGGAGTGTCAGTGGCTCTTCCACGTCCTGGGATGTGAAACTCTTTTCCTTGGAGCATCCCAGGCTTCGGAGAGGGCGGCTCTGCCACCCAGCACGGCCCTGCAAGGACAGGGCCTGGGGAAGGGAGCAGAGCACAGATTCATCACCACATTTTTGCCTCTCATCCCACAGGTATAAATAGAAGCTCCTTCAGGCTGGCCTCACCCTGGGCTCAGCCGGGAAATGTCAGCAATAAACAATAAATTCCTGCCGACTCGGCGGGGCTGCCCGAGCCCACGGACACATCTGCTGCTCCTGCTGCCCTCTAATCACCCCCTGGCCCACTGAATTAATCAAAACGCCCAAAGGTCAGTGGGAGAAGAGGCCACCTTCCCGTGCAAGTTGGGTTTATTTTTCCTTTTAGAGCCCGTGGTAAAAGGCAGGCCCTGGCCAGCGCCTTCCCATCAATCTCTCCCAGCTCATGGAGAGGAAAGAGGGTCAGAACCTGCTAATGAGTTCAGTTTTCCTAATGGTTATTTTATCATTGGAGCAGAATAATTGTAATAATAATGATACATCCTGCCTGCTGTCTGGAGAGCGCCAAGCTGCCTTTGTAAAGCCTGACAAAGGCATTTATTTATATTTTTTATTTGCAGCCTCTGTGATTAGAGGGCAGTGTTCAGAATAGCCCAGTCGAGTTAAATAATCCTGGTAACAGTGCTTTGAGTCTAATTGCTGCCCTTTTCTTTTTTAGGTACTTGCTCCCCTAATTAAGATCACAATCGAGCTGCATCTCGAGTGGGAGGGGGAAAGCAATTAAAGAAGGGGGATTAGGTTGCTCTGCAGAGGTTTTGGGCCCAATCCTGCCAGCTGGGGATGCAGGATTCCCACAGCCAGGGCTGGATGTGCTGCTGGGCTTTGCAGGAGTGGGAGCAGTGCTGGGCTGGTAATGCTGGCTTGTGCTGACCTGTGCAGGAGCACAGGGCTGGCATGGGGCTCCTGGGGCTTCACAGGGAGCTGTTGTGGGGTGCAGGGGTGGCTTCTACCCCTGGTGTAGCTGGAGTTCTCCTGCCACATCCTCAGCCCTGGCTGAGCCTTGGCTGTGCCAGATCCATCCCTGGATGTGCATTCCCAGCATGTACCAGAGGCTGTGGGACTGTCACCGTGTCCTGAACATGTCCTGGGCATCTGCTGGCTCCTGGCTCTGGTGGCAGTGCTGGCCTCCGGCTCCACAGCAGCACCTTGGCTGCCAAACCCCTTTTTTGGCAAACTTTTCCTCCTCCCGTTTATCAAACAGCCACATTTTTAAGCAATTAGCACGCGTTGTGCTGGCATTTCCACATCCCTCTGCCCAAGGACAGACCCTTCCTCAGGAACTGAGACTCACCATCCACAAAAAAACCCTTTCTGCTTAGAGGAAAACCCCTCCAGGACTGGAGCAGAGCCAGGACAGGAGCCCTGCACTCCTGGCTGTGCCCTCCCACCCCTGGCAGCTCGGGGAGGAATGGGAGCTGCTGGATGTTTGCTGATGGACTGCCAGAGCTGGGAGCAGCACCTGAGCTCCCACCTGCAGAACAAGCTCCTGCTGCTGTTGGGAAGGTGATTTTAGGTTTTTCTGTCTTGCTGGAGCAGGGCTCCCCACTGCCCTCTCCCCTGGGGCAGGCTGGGGCTCTGTCAGTGTTTCCTGGCCGAACTCTGTTTGCCTGCCAAGCTTTTTAATTTGTTTTATAAATTGCCAGATCCAGCAGGCTGAACCGCGGGCCCCCTTCTGTGATAAAAATAAAATAACAGCTTGAACTCGGAGGGCAGAGCAGTGGGGCTGGCAGGAAATGCTGATTAAAGGGCAGGTGGAAATGATGAGGCTCCGAAACCGGAGGTTTCATCTTCCGCTCTTGAGTGAAAAATGCAGATTTGGGAAGTTTTGCTGACTTGGTTTGTGGAGCCTCCAGCTTCTCACGCTGCCATCCTCAAGCTGCCCGTGGCTGAGAGCACCCAGAGCACTGCTGGTCCTCCCTCCCTGCAGGGTGTGCAGGGGCTTTAGCTGGGAATTACTCTGGAAATGCTCATTTGAGCCAGACCCAGAGACGGTGCACAAGGTTTGGGCTCACCCCTCATCTTCCCCTGGCAGGTAAAACCCCTCTGATTTGTGCCTTACCCAGAGCAGGAGCTAATGTGCCATGAAATTGCTGCACAACGAGGGGGGTACATTATTCTGGCAGAACTCTCTCTGGGTATTTACTCTGCTTTGAACTCAAGATATTTGCTTGGGAGAAATGATTTTTTCTTTTGCCAGCAGGCAAACCTGTAGCTCCTTTGCCTTTGGACTGGGAGATCACTGTGAAATTGCAGCAGGAAGGTTTCAGTCCCCTGAATATCCTTAAACTCCGTGGGTGTCTTACTGCTATCAATGCTGGGGAGAAAAAAATCACCTTATTTCCTGCCATAAAGTTTGTCCAACTCCCCCCCAGTCAGCAAACCCTTCTTTGATATTAAGCAAAACTGTTGTGGTTTTTATTTTGGATTTTTTTTCACGTTTTGAACACGACAGGAAGGTGCAGTTACCTTGGAAACAGCGGTGGGATGGTGCTTGGTGGCAGGGCAGCACTCAGGCAAAACTCTGTTGGGAAGGTGGGCATGGAAAAGTGGGGTTTGCTGGGTCCTGAGCCACCCTGGAAGTTCCAGGCTGGTGGCAGGTGAAGCTGAGCCAGGGGAGAGGCTGCTTCATGTCCAGGTTTTGGTGTGCAAATCAGGCCTGGGAGCCTTGGAGAAGGTTAAGCTGTGTTTTTGGGAAGCCTGTCTTTTTAAGGCTTTTCCTCTGCTTTGGATTAGTGAGACATGCTCAGATCATCCAAAGGGAAAGAATTTCTCAAATCAAAAGGACTTTTGCTGCTGAGGCCCCTTTGGTTTAGTTCTGCTCCCCTGCCCCATCCCAGGAGATGCTGCCACTCCTGGATCCTGAGGATGCCATAAAGGAACCCTGCGCTGATTAAAAGCTGTTGGTGTTTTTCATTTTAACCAGGAAAGTATTTCCATCCTCACTGGGTTTAATTTACAGTTTGCAGCCAGATTGGAGCTGGGAAGGGATCCCACTGGTGGCTCATTTGTTTGAAGGTGTCACTACACAAATACACGTTCTGGGAATGCCAGCGGCGCTGGAGGGGAGGATGTGCCAACAGCAGCTCTCAGCTGTGTCCCAGCCATTCCCAAACCTTCCCAGGGGACATCCTTCATCTCCTGGGGGACAGGAAGCTGCTGGCTGCAGCCAGGCTGCTGAGGGATGGGGATAACCCAGGTGAAAGCCCACGGAAGCAAAGGCTGTGGCTGCAATGCTGGCAGAGCTGCATCCCCTCATCCCTCGCTCCTCTCCCAGGGCTGTGCTAGCCAGCTTGGGAATGGCCACCAGTGCCAAGCCACGCTTCATAACAGGGCTCCCAGCAGGGTGCTTTGTGTTTTGTGGTGTCTGCATCTCGCTCCTCTCCCAGGGCTGTGCCAGCCAGCCTGGGAATGGCCACCAGCTATTCATAACAGGGCTCCCAGCAGGGTGCTTTGTGTTTTGTGGTGTCTGCAGCCTGTTCTTTAGCACCTCCATGCATTCCTGTTGTGCTCAGAGGGAGGGCAGCCCGTGTTTGCAGGGTGCAGCAGGTTAACCACGTCTCTCCTCCCTTGCAGCCACGCTGGGGACGCTGGATTTTAGTCTGCTCTACGATCAGGAGAACAACGCTCTCCACTGCACCATCAACAAGGCCAAGGTAGGGCTCAGCCTGGCTGTGGGGACAGAAAGGACTGGCTGTGCCAGGGGAACCCCATCCATGGCTGTGCCAAGGGAACCTGACCCCTGGCTGTGCCAAGGGATCCCAATCCATGGCTGTGCCAAGGGAACCCAATCCATGGCCATGCCAGGGAATCTAACCCCTGGCTGTGCCAAGGGATCCCAATCCATGGCTGTGCCAAGGGAACCTGACCCCTGGCTGTGCCAAGGGAATCCAATCCATGGCTGTACCATGGGAACCTGACTCCTGGCTTATGGTTGTGTTCGTGGGTCCCAGGACGAGGGAAGAGATGAGAATTTGACTCCATGTTTCAGAAGGCTGATTTATTCCATTATGATATTATATTATATTAAAATGCTATAGTAAAACGATACTAAAAAGAATAGAGAGAAAGGATCCATCCAAAAGAAAAGGTCAAAAGGAAAAGAAAGGAATGATAACAAAAGCTCGTGGCTCTCAGAGAGTCTGACACCACTGGATCTTTGATTAGTCATTAAGTAGAAACAACTCACACGAACCAATCTAAGATGCACCAGTTGGTAAACAATGTCCAGACCACATTCCACAGCCATCAGATAGTTATTGTTTACCTTTCTTTTCTGAGGCTTCTCAGCCAGAATAGGAGAAAAATCCTAGCAAAGGATTTTCATAAAGATATCATGGTGACACCCGGCTGTGCCAAGGGAACCAGACCCATGGCTGTGCCAAGGGATCCCAATCCATGGCTGTGCCAAGGGATCCCAATCCATGGCTGTGCCAAGGGATCCCAACCCATGGCTGTGCCAAGGGAACCAGACCCATGGCTGTGGCAAGGGAACCCAACCCATGGCTGTGCCAAGGGATCCCAACCCATGGCTGTGCCAAGGGATTCCAATCCATGGCTGTGCCAAGGGATCCCAACCCATGGCTGTGCCAAGGGATCCCAATCCATGGCTGTGCCAAGGGATCCCAACCCATGGCTGTGCCAGGGATCCCACCCCCTGGCTGTGCCAGGGATCCCAATCCATGGCTGTGCCAGGGATCCCAGTCCATGGCTGTGCCAAAGGAACCAGACCCGTGGCTGTGCCAAGCATCCCAGGGTTCCATCACCTTCCCAGCACCTCTGCCCTCTCCTTCCCCTCCATCCCTGCCTCTCGGGGCGTTCCCAGGGTCGGGAGCCGGCTGCTCATCCCCGTGAGGAGCTGCATTGATGCTTTTTCGAGCAGCCCATCCCGATGTTGTTATTTACTGTGACCGGCTGTCGGTTTATAAATGGCTCTTTTAAATGCTGCTAATCACGGCCCCAAAGTGCTGCGCCTCAGCGCCTTTGCCGTCTGCGTGATTGAGGCAATTAGGGGCTTTTTGCACATTTGGGAGCAGGAACGGCGAGCTGAGGTCCTGATTCAGCCTCGGGGCTGTGGAAGGTGCTGCTGGGGGCTGCTGGGTTCCCCTCTGCATCACCCAGTGACCACCAGAGGTGGGCTGGGGGGGAAAACACCTCAATCCCTGCTTGGGAAGGGATGGGGGTTTTGGAGAAGAGGCTGTGAGCTGAGCCCCAGAGGCTCAGACCACGCTGTTTGCCTCCTCTCTCCCCTCCATGGCTCGTGGTTTGCAGCCCCCACCCCAGCATGGCTGGAATACCAGCACCAAAGCTGGGTTTTGGGGATGGGTGAGGAGGGATCAGCCCCAGCGCTCCTGGAGCTGCTCCTGGCAAGGGCAGCATGCCCAGGTGCCAGGCAGGACGGGCAGGGCAGGGCTGGGGCAGACTCTGGGCTTTGCCTCCCTCTGTCTCCAGTGAATCCGCCGGGTCAGGCTTCCCTCGGCGCACACGGGAGCCGTGCCAAGGAGGAGATTTCTAATTGGGTTTGGAGTGGGTGGAAGACAGGGAGGAAAGGAGAGCTCTGGGCAGCAACTGATAAATCTCACATCAGCGAGAGCGCAGGCAGGGCTGACACAGGAGAGCCCTGGTCCCTGCTGTGCCCACCCAGGGGTGTGGGGGTACCCCAGTGTTGCCCGTGGGGAGGGCAGAGCCCCCCTGGCCACCCTGACATTCAAGCTCTGGAGTCCTGTTCATTTCCATTCTGCTCTCATTCTCCCATTTTTCTCTTTTATTTACATTGCCATCTGCTCGCTCTCATTTCATCTCTCGCCTGGGGAAAGCTGCCAAAACTTGACTACAGAAAGGTAAGGGCCAGGACCCCGCTGGCTCCGGGCTGGTACAAGTAGAGCTGGACAGGAGGAGATGGGGGAAAAGCCCCAGCAGTTCTGGGATGTGATTTACCCTTGGCCCAGCTCCTGGGTAGCTGTGTCACCCTCCAGGGAAACGCCCTGGGGATGTGCCCAAGTCCAGCAGCTCCTGGAACTTTGCTTGCTGCCAGCAGCCATTCAAACCTGGGCTAGCTCAGCCACGTGAGACACGTTTTTCTTTCTCTCTGATAACCCCAAACAACCTCCCTCTCTCCCTTTATTTTACTTCTCTTTATTTCTTTTTTAATCTCCAGCACTTTTATGTCTGCTGATGCTCCTCACGAGTCCCATTATCACCCTGGGGAGCAGCAGGTCCAATCCAGCCTGTGGTGCTCCACCAGCAACTCCTTGCTCTGCAGCCCTCAGCTGCTGGAGGAGCTGAGGTCTTCACTCCAAGTGGGAATTCACCCTGCTGCTGTGCCTGGAATATTTCTGAGAGGTTTCTGAGGGGTGTAAGTTCACAGCAGGAATTGTGAGACTCTGGGTGTCACCAGACAGGTGGTAGCAGGAGAAGGCAGGGACAGGCAAAAGCAGACAGGAACAAGGAGGAACAGGCAGGAGCAGCCAGGAAAAGGCAGGAGGAGCCAGGAAGAGGCAGGGAAAGGCAGGAGCAGCCAGGCTGGCAGCAGGCACCTCGCACTGATGGCTCTCAGTGCTGGCAGCCTGTCACACTTCAGGCACGGCTGAACTCAGACACGTTGTAGCTCAGCTCGGATCAATAGGAGAATAAATCAGGGCATTGTGGAAGCTCATTCCTGGACTGCAGGAGCAGCCAGGCTGGCAGGAGGGAGTCCTGGGGTTGTGTGGATCTCTGCTGTCCTGCGTGGGACAGGGCTGGGGTGTGCTGGGCATCACCCCCTCCTAGAAAATAGGATGGAAAAGGATTTGGTGAAAGTGCAGACACCTGGTTCTGTGCCGTGCCATGCCATGGCTTCGCTGAGGTTCTCACTTTGTGCTCAGTCCTACAGAGCCCACCCTGCCGTAGGGGATTTTTAGGGGCATGCAGCAGCACAGACACACAGGCTGTGCTGTCCTATAGCTCCAGTGGTCTCCTGATTTTGGGAGAAAGGTGCCTGGGACAAGCCTCAGGGGGCTGTAGGGCAGTGGGGAAGGAGCTCCTGGCCCCAGGTAGGCCATGCCAGGCAGCTGCTGCCCATTGGAGCATCCTTGGGCTGCTCTCCCTGCACCTCTGGCCAGAAAACACCCAGGAGCCTCCACCCCACTGAGCATTTGGCTGTTCCCTCCCTTCCACCCGAGGTGAGGGCTGCAGGTCTGCACTGAGCATTACTTATGTATTAACTCATCAATATTTATCACTGCAGGGAAATTCCTCCAGCTGTCGGGCTCCTCTGGGCTGGCAGGGTGGAAATGCAGTTTGCCCCCTTTTCAGAATGGGATGCCACAGCCTGGGAATTATCCAGGCTGGTTTTTGGGCAGGCAGCTCGTTGTGGGGTGAAGGATGGAATGAATCCATCTCCTGTGATTTCTGGACGCCTCTAGCGTGGCATTAATCGGCAGCCCGATTAGCCCAAGCTGTAATTAAATCCTATTGATTAGCTAAATGTCACTGGCACGGGATGCAGCTGGCAGAGCCTGGGATGCTGGAGGTCTCTGTAGGATTGCAGCAGAGATTTTGGGGTTGGGTAGAGAAAAGATGAAACTTAATCTCAGCTCCATAAATCAGAGCAGCAGCAGGAGGAGCTGGAGCCAGGGAGATGCCCCAGCTGGATCTGAGGGGACACTCTGTGCCTTGTCCCTCTCTACCTCATCCCTCTTGGAGAAGCTCCAGGCTGGTGGTCCCTCCACCCATGGGGGTCCTCCCTGTGGGAGGGATCCTTGCAAAGCAGAGCCCTGTTAAATTCAGCTGTTTGTGCCAAACACGTATCGAGTGACACGGGAGGGAGGTAGACGTGACATTAGGAGCCATTTTCCAGGCTCCTGTCACTCCATCTTCCATAGCACATCTATTAAAAAAGCCTTTAATAGCCTCCTCAGAAGGTAATTTAATTGAGCTGAATTGATGGGTGAATTACAGAGCTGCCTGTCATTCTCCATCCATTTTCCTGGGAATCTGCCTGCTCGGTTCTGATTTCATTTGCTCTGCAGCCTGGGCAGGTTGGGCACCTCTGACCAGGGAGGCTGGGGAGAGCACAAGTGGATTGTGCAGGCAATTCCCTGCAGAGTCTGGGGACAGCCCAGCCCCTTCCTGCCCTGTCTGCCCCATCCTCATCATCTTCTGAACCAGAGACATCACCTCAGAGGCTGCCCTTAAAGCAGATTCACCTCCATTCACTGCTGATATTTTTATCCTTTTGGCTTTGCTGTAGAAGCAAACTCCTCTTTGCTGGGCACCATTTGGCCTCCCTTGCCCCAGGGCAGCACGTTTGTCTCTGTAGCAGAGCCCTTGCTCCAAGTCAGAGACACTCCCAAGGTCAGGAGCATCCTGGACAAAGCTGTGCAGCTCAGAGATGCTTCTGTGGTGCTGTGGGTCAGGCTGGCTGAGTTATTCCCTACCTGTGAGGCATGGAAATGATTCCCCCAGCATTTCCCTGCTCGATTTGCCCAAATCCTGGATGATTGCATTCCTTCTGCACACAGCCATTCCACCAGCAGTCCATACAAATGCTTCCCTGCCACTGGATCCCTGGCAGCTGCACACACTCATCATCCAGGCACTCTGCTCCTCACAAAAAGGGTGTGAGGACTCTTCAGCATCCCCCAGCCGTGTCTCCCTGCCCGGGCTGGAGCCAGGATTGGATGGGTACCTCTGCAGAGAAGCCCTGCTCTGCTCCAGGCACAGGATTCCTTCAGCCAGCCCAGCAATAATTCCTGCAGGGATCCCACAGCCAGGCTGGAAATCATCCAAGGACTTCCACCACGGAGCCGTTCTCATTCCTGCTTAGGACTGGTGAAAATTAGGCTCCATTTGTCACCCTCCTGACTCGCTTCCCTGCCCTGAGGAGTTGTTTTCCATGCAGTCTGTGCAGGTGTGGCATTGAGCTGGGTTTGTGCACCACTCCTGGATAATTTTCAGGGGGTTTAGAAGAGGAACAGAGGCACAATTTGTGCCCTCCCTCTGCCCAGAGCAGGGCATCGCTATTACAAACCTGACCCACATCATCCTTTAAAAGCTGTGAGGATCTCGTAGAGAATCCATCAGGAATGGCCACAGCGAGTGTTTCCTGGGATTGGTGCTCCTGCAACCCCGGATTTCTCTGGGAACACCACAGCATCTGGCTGGCACCAGCCTCCCACTGGCCTGGAGCTGTTCTTCCTGAATAACTGGGAGTAGGTAGGTGCTATCACACCCTCTGGAAGTGGCACCACAACAGCAGAGGTGTGTGTTTGCTCAGAAGCAATTATTAAATGACAGAACCCTGTAATTTCAAAGCTGGGAAATCACTGCACTGATTCTCTTCACCCCCAAATTAATCGTGATGAGGGTGGCAGAGCTCGCTGCTGGGAGGGAGGGAGGGGTGGATGGTGCCACGTGCAGGTGAGGAGCTTCCCAAAGCCCCTCCTGCAATGCACAGACTGGAATGCTGAGCCTGGATCCTGCAGAACTCACTCTCCCCTCCTTCCCCAATCCTGGGGGAGCCACAGTTGCTCCATGGAGCCCAGGATGGGCTCAGTGAGGCCACCCTGCCTGCCCAGCACCTCACTGCCATCCTGATTCCTGCTTCTTGCTGTTCCCTCTCCAGGGCCTGAAGCCAATGGACCACAATGGTTTGGCTGATCCTTATGTCAAGTTGCACTTGCTCCCCGGAGCCAGCAAGGTGAGAAACCTTTTCACTTCTCCTTTCTTTCCTGGGGCTGCAGCTTCTCACTGGAAATCAGGCCTGGGAGAAGCTCCTGACCCAGGGGCTGTGAGCTGCCGCACCCAGACCTTGATTTTCTTGAGTGAAAGGTGCTCAGAGAGGGCAGGAGGCAAGAATTGGGGTTGAATCCATCCTTACTGAGATGGAAAATGCCTTGCTGGGAAACCACTGGCTGGCAGCCAGGTGCCAGCCCTGATTCCTTACCTTGGGAGCCCAGCATGGGAATGCTGCATTCCAGGAGCCCCTGGGAAGCACCGAGTGAAACAACTTCAGCCATAAACAAATCAGACCCTTTTAATTCCCTTTTTTTTTTTTTTTTTTACCTTTATTCTTTTGCATTTAAAATCCCTCAGATCATAATAAAACAGAGTATAAATCATAAGGGAAATATTTCCATCTCCTTAGGTTCAGCACTTGCTGGAGAGAAGAGTAATTAAAGATATTGATGTGTGGTGAGAGCTCGGTGTAAGTGACGGGGATATGGAATTTAAATGCTCGATGTGTGTGTTAGGAATATTAATTGCACTCTTATTCCACACGAAAGGAAAGATTTTCTTTTTTTTTTTTTTTTTTTGGGGGGGGAGGTGTATTTACTTGTTACAGTTCAGTTGGATTAATTCCTAATGTTCAGGGTGGCAGAGGGAGTTTTTAACCACATTCTGAGCTTCCGCTGCAAACAGAGCCGCGAGCGCTTTCATCAGCAATATTATCAGTCATTTCCATGTTTTGTAAATCCATTGATTAGCATTTCTGCTGGAGCTGGTGGAGGCAGGAGAGGCAGGAGGGGAGGCAGCACAGGAGCTGCAGATCCACAAGCCATGGGGGGACTCTCCTTGCCCCCTCTGCCCCATCTCTGTGCTTTGTTCCAAACAGCACTGCCCTGGGAGAGGGGAGAGCAGCTCTGAGGGTTGGGGATTTGTCCTGGGCTAGTTCTTCCTGCAGCAGGACACTCTCTGAGTCCCTCAGGTGTTTCTGTCCCAGATTTGGGCTCTCAGGCACCTGTGGGTGTGGGAAGCAGGGCCAGGTTCATTCCCCATGCAGAGCTGGTTGCTGACTCCTGAGTCATTCCAGATGGGAGAAAAAGGCACTCCCGGAGCTCAGCTCCTCTGATCTCACTCGTGCTCCTTCCCAGAGCAGCTTTGGCAGCTGGGTGATGTTCATCATGTCACCCCCTTGGCTAAACCCGCTTTCCTTCCCAATCCCTGGAGCCCCAGGGATCAGGATCTGGTACCTGCAGACCTGAGCAGGCTCTGGTGCCATTGGGGCACCTTCCCCGCTGTCCTCGTCACTCAGGGCTCGTGAACCCAAGGTGGGGAATGCAGCAGCTCCCCATAAAGTTCCACAAGACAACTTGGAGGTGTTGGTGTGCTGAGAGTTTCTTATGCCCAGCAGCAGCTGAGGCAGGGATTGAGTTGTCTGACACCTAATTAGAGGGAATATTGCTGCTCTGCCAGGCAGTGCCAGGCTGAGAGCCTGGTGGAGAAGCCAAATCTGCAGCCTTAGCCTCTTTTTTCTGCTCTCCCCAGACATGAGAGGGGCTCAGGGAGTGAGGAGATCCATGTCCCCTGAGCTGGGGAGTGGCTGTGTGCCAGGATGTCCCATCCATCCAGGGGACACGAGCCCTGCTGTCCCATCCTCCTGCTCAGCAGAGCTACTGGTGCTGACAAAACACCTGTCAAAGAAGTTGTTTGGAGTCAGGCAGGATCAGGAGCTGTGCTGGGAGCAGGAGTGCAAACAAACAGCCAGAACAGCAAATCAGCATTTTTTATTTAATCCAGAAAAGATTTTTTTCCCTCCCTTGCTCTCTCCTACTGCTTAAATAAAATCCTGGTGCGTGCTCTGCCAAGTTCCCACTTGGCTGGCTGTTTCCAGGACGCAGGATGAGGGGCTGGGCTGGTTTGGAAATGAGTGGGTTGCTGTGTCCCTGCCCCTCAGGTGGATTAGGGGTGGATTTGGGCCACCCCAGTGAGGCTTCCAACACTGGGGACAGAACAGTGACAGCACCCATTGCCCCTTCATCTCCAAACTGAGCCTCCTCTCCTGCCCCGATGACCCTCCCCACTGCAATCCCACCTCCTCTGCTGCCCAAGTGACCAATCCCACTGACCCCACCTCCTCTGCTCCCCCAGGCCAACAAGCTGAGAACCAAAACGCTGCGCAACACGCTGAACCCCACGTGGAACGAGACCCTCACCTACTACGGCATCACCGACGAGGACATGATCCGCAAGACGCTGAGGTAGGGCCCCATCCTGGGGGGACACGGCCCCCTTCCCCCCCAGCCAGCTGTCCCCCCTGTTGTGCTGTGATGTCACGTCTTGCCTCAGTTTCCCCGCTCCTTCCCCAGGTGTCATTCTTTTCACCTCTCCTTTTCCCCATCCTGACTCCTGACATCCAGAAATTCCAGAGGGTGCCAATCGAGTGATTGGCAGGTTTAAAGGATGCTCTGCACCCCCTGGGGGGCCAGTGACCCATCCAGGTGTCCCTCTCACCTGAGACCCCCTGTCCCCGTAGCTGGTTGGTGGTCCCTGGGTTCCCCCCCTGCCCTGGGTAAAAGGATGGGCACACCATGCTCAGAGGGTTCTGGTGGAGCTGTTACTGCATTCAGAAGCCATGTGGCCCAGGATAAAAACTCTGGATTAAAAACTCTCCATCAGGACCCACTCCTTCCTTCACCATCGCCTTTCTCCAGCCCAGGGAGGCCTGAGGAGTGGCTCTCTTCTGCCAACAAACTCCAGCCATAAGCACTGGAGCTCGGGCCTGCCTGGCCTTGTCCCCACGTGCCCAGCTGTGACCCACAGGTAGCATCTCTGGGGGGAAAACACCACAAGTGCCACGATTTGGTTCAGCAGCTGGGACTGGACGAGTCAAGGCACGTCCCATTCAGTAATATTGGTAAAAACCAATACCTGCTCACCCCAGTGACAATTTCACCCCGGGCTCAGCTGTGGTATTCACATGCCCTCTGAACAGAGAGAAGCAGAGAAGAAAGAAAAACAGTTCTTATCTCTTGCTGTGCCTGCGTTGTGCCAAAGTAGAATGCAATGTGGAGGTTGTTTTACCCAGAGTGAGGATGTTTTGTTCCCTTGGCCTACCAGGGCCTGTGTGAATCCGGACTGTCACGAGACAGCCATGAGAGAATCAGAGGTGAGGGCAGTTCTGAGCAAGAATGAGTGCAAGGCACATTCAGTTCAGATGCAATGCACATAGTATAGCATAACAAAGTAATTATTTAGCCTTCTGATGATAGAGCCAGATACATAATTTTCTCTCTCCAACATCTGAGCCGCCCTTGATTTACAACACTCAGCCCCACAGGAGGGTCCTGGAGCTGCTCCCAGCAAAGCAGGGCAGAGTTCTCCCCAGCAAAGAGTTGGTGAGTGTACCCTGCAGGCATCCATCAGCCCCAGAGCCACTGACACCTGATTTACAGGCAGCCTGGGCTGGGGGAACCAGCGAGGAGCCTGTTCCTGCTGCATCACTCGCTTCAGAGCCCTCTGCCTGGCTCCTGCCTGCTCAGCTGGGCTGGGGTGGTGATTTCTTCCTTCTGTCGAAGGAAGGAAATTGATGAATCTTACTCCATGTTCTTAGAAGGCTAATTTATCATTTTATGATATTATATAATATTAAAGAATACTTAAATTGAAACTATACTAAAGAATAGAGAAAGGATACAGACAGAAGACTACAAGGAATGATGATGATGAAAACCTTTGACTCTCTCTTCAGAGTCTGACAAATCTGGACAGTGATTGGTCATTAAGTAAAAACAATTCACATGTTGAATAAACAAGCTCCAAACCACGTTCCCAAGCAGCAAAACACAGGAGAAGAAAATCAGATAATTATTGTTTTCATTTTTCTCCGAGGCATCTCAGCTTCCCGGGAGAAGAATCCTTTTTTCCAGAAAATATGACAGTGACAGTGTGGTTTAGGTTTAACCTCTCCATGCCCAGCTCTCACAGGCACATGTTGAGGTTTTGTGGTTGTGTCTTGCTGAGAAAATCTCCTCAGGGAAGTTCTGGGCCCCTTTCAGGGCTGAGCTTTTTGTTAGAAACCTGGAGGCACCTGTGAATTATTGTCCAGCTAAACAAAGAATGTAAGTCTTTATTTTATTATTTTATTTTGTTGGTTCAGTCTGTGCATTCAGCATCTCCCAGGGGCTGGGAGAGGTTGTGTGAGGGTGGAGCTGGGCAGGGGCAGAGCTTGGAATGATGCTCTGCAGGGAGCAGACACAGTGAATGCAAAGATTTCTCATATTTTGGCCTCTGTCCCACCTGGATGAGGGCAGGAATTGTGGGCAGCCTCGGCTGCTCCATCACCACACTGCTCTGGGGCCGTGCTGCAGGATTTGCTGTGAGATCCACGGGCAAAGAAAGGATTTTCCATCCTTCTCCAAGGACTCAGGGCTTTGCCAGCTCCGTGGCTGCAATCCCACCCTCCTCATCTGCAGGTGCCCCTGGGGGTTTGTGATTTTCCTCATGCCAGGAGCTCAGAGCTGCCTGGGGAAAGGTGCAGCTCGGAGGTGAAGCAGGGCAGAGCCCACCTGTTGTCTGCAGTGTGCAGGGTGATGGGAAATGCAGCGCCGTGGATTATTATTTTCACTTGGAAAACATTAGTCATGCTGGAAGTGCTGCAGGCTGGTGGGGCTGGGAAGCCTCCAGTTTGTTGTTATTATTGGTGGGTATTTTTTCACTGCAGGCTTTGAAGTTTGCAGCCTCCTCGAGCGTGGAAATGGGTTTGTAAGGAGATGTTGGCTGAGTTGTTTGCTGGAAGGCGACAGGGAGCAGCAGGGCTCGACCCCCATTCTTCCAGGGCTCTGGGAGCTGCTTCTCCCTTGGGAAGGGCTGTTTATCCTGGAGGCAGCAGGGAGCTGTGGGATGGGGGATGCACCAAAAAAAGTGCAGGGCTGGATTTGCTTTTTTCCCCACCGAAATCCTGCTCTGCCTCATCCCATTCCTGCCGGCCAAGCTGGGGGCTGTGGAGCTCCTTGTGCCCTCCCCAAAGCTCAAAACTGTGCATAGACCCCTGTGGCCCACCTGGGACCCCTCAGTCAGCAGGAGAATGTGGCTGGATGGACTTTAAAGATCATCTCATTTGGGCAGGGACACCTCCACTATCCCAGGCTGCTCCAAGCCCTGTCCAACCTGGCCTTGGGCACTTCCAGGGATCCAGGGGCAGCCACAGCTTCTCTGGGCACCCTGTGCCAGGGCCTGCCCACCCTCACAGGAAAGGATTTCTTCCCAATATCCCATCTAAACTGCCCATCTGTCAGTGTTTTGGTGTGGCTGGAGCTGTTTCTCTGCTGTGAGCTGGCCCTTCGCTCTCCCAGTGCTGCTTCCTGCAGGAAACTTCTCCATGCACTGGGTGCTTTGCCTCACCCATCCATCTCCTCCTCAAAATATCTCCTTTTCCACGAGGAAAAACCAGCTTCAAAGCCAGGAGGACTCTGGTTTTCCCTGTGTTGATGAGAAGAGGATCCTGCCAGGCAGCTGGTGCTGCTTGAAAGAGCATCAGTGATGTTCCCATGGGTCTGGGCAGTGGCCATTCCCTGGGAGCCTCCCTGCTGCTGAGCTGGGCAGGGAATGCAATTCCAAAGTCTCTTTAATGTGAAAATAAAGGCAGATATCAAAGCTGCCGCCAGCATTCACTTCCCTACAGCCTGGAGATGTCTCAGGGAAGCTGGAAACCCAAAAATCTCCCCAGCCCAGCTGGTGGGACGTGTCCAGCACGGACTGCTGGGGTGGTGCTGGTCTGGGGCACCCTGCCAGTGCCTGCAGCCTTTTAGGAGGGGACAAGTGGCATTTGTCAGGACATCCCAGAGAGCTGGGTGTCGGATCCCCACCTGCCCAAGCCCCCCAGCCCCATATCATGGCCAGACAGGTTCTCCCTCATCCCTTGAGGGCCTTGTCCCAGCTGGTGAGTGACTTTGCTGTGACAGACCCCAGGAGCCAGCAGGGCCAACCTCCCCGAAGTGAAGGAGAGGTGAAGGCAGCCCAGCTAATTGCACTGGCAAGCAGGATTTTGTTAATGAAGCAACCCCCTCAAAGAGCAGCAGATATTTGGGATTTCATGGAGAGCAGCAGGTGGGAGGATCTCGAAAGGGCTCATCCATTCATTGAATTAAATATCCCTGAGTGTAACCCAAGGTTTAGCAGGGATGAAACCACCCACCAGCCTGGGAAAAGGCAGGTTCAGAGCCATGCAAAACACACTGGAGTGCACAGATGGACGGGATTGGGGACAGATTCCCCTGCCAGGAAATCCCACCCTGGAGCCCCCATTCCCACCACAGGGTACAGTGTCAGAGGGAGGCAGAGAAATGCTGCAGGGGAAGCTGGAACAGGCAGAATACAATCTCCTCCAGTTAAATAATAGATGTAAGATACAATAAATAAATTGCATTCATAATAAATACCCGAGCTGGCCAGATATTGGATACAATTATTCATATCCAGCTATATTGGCGAGGTGATGCATTATTCATGGGGTACTCAGCTAGCCCACGAATGCCAGGAATTCTTTGTTTAATCATGTGTTTGACAAACATCATGACTCATTAAATGTATTATTCAGAAAATAGTATTTGATCAGGACTAATAAGCAGAGTGCAGCCACTTCAAGGTTTGGGGTCCCAAATTGCTTTACTCTGGATGAATGAGGTTTGCTTGGAATTGCAGGTGCACTTGTAATTATAACTCATTTCTGCTGTGGTTTCTGTGCTCAGACTTGGAGGCATTTTGTGATGGAGCCCATGATGGAATCCTCCTTTTTTGTTTTCTGGAGAACTGGCCTTTCCCAAGGCGTTATTTTGTCTCCTTGCCTGGTGTTGCCTGTCCTTAAACCAAGCCACCATCCCCTGCTCCTCACGGAGAGCCTCCCTTGTTGCCATAAGGGATCTTAGGCACAGGGGATGATCTCAGGCTCTGCTCTGTGTGTTTTTGTGGAAAAGGGTCCTTGCTGACCCCCATTTCCCCTTTCCACACTGGGGAAGAGGCCGAGGAGCTCGTGTGAGGGAGCAGAAGCCATGAGTCAGCTGCTGGAGCTGCTCGGTGAGTCAGGGCTGGAGCCCAGGAGCCCGGGCTGAGTAGGAGGGAGGAGAAATTTAATGAGCAGTGATTGTTCATTTGCTGCTTAGTTTCCTTCCAAGGTGCTTTTCACAGCCATTAATATAAAGATCAGGACCCCACAGTGAGGATATCAAATGAAACACTGGGCTGGAGGGATTGGGATTAATAAGGAGAGATGGGGAAGGGGTGAAGCTGCAGCTCCAGGCTGGGGATGGAAGGGGAACGAGACTGCCAGAGGCATCTCCTGCTGTTTGTCATGGGGCTGATTTTCTAACCCAAGGCATAAAAATTCCATCACATGGATTTCTCCTAATAAAATCCAAGCTGGTGTGATTGCATTATGCCCTTTTCCAAAGGGAGGGATGGGGCTGGAGCTTCCTGCTCATCTCACTCAAAGCTCACTGCCTTCACTGATGGGCCAGTGCTGGAATTCCCATTCCACTGGGGATGAACTGGAGCTGAGAAGAGGAACTGGGACTGGGGGCTGAGCCTGAGGACATCACACACAGATGGGCACAAAATGTGGGGTCCAGAGGTGCTACAGGGAAAATGGGGCTGGGAGAGGCCTGGAGGTGTCTCCAGCTCCACTGGGCTGCTCAGGGCAGTGCCAGATCCCAGACCCTGCAGGTGTGCCAAAAACCACTTCCCAAGGGCCTTCCCATGTCCCTGAGGGCACTGAAACAGGGCCCAGGGGGTCTCTCCCAGTGTGACACTGGAGATGCTCTCCCTGCCACCACCACTGGAGTTTTCCACGTCTCCTTCCTGGGCTTTTGCCCATCCTGAGGCTCCTGAGCTTTCAAAGCAGGCAGGACGTTGTGTTTGGGATCTTGCTGTGTTTCTGGAGTGTCCCTGGACATTGTCAGCAGAATTGTCCCTCACTTTTTTAAGAGGTAAACCATCCCAACCCCTGTCTCCCTGAGTGCCCAGGAGCCAGCACCACTCCACAAGTGCTGGGTGTAGACACAGATCCTGAGCTGCCAGCTCCCTGTGAGGCCATGTCCCCTCCTGTCCCCTCCTGTCCCCCCCAGCTCTGCCCACAGGGACAGGGCTCCACGTGCCTGGCAAGCAGTGCTGGCTTGAGCTGCTGCTGCTCGTTTGCTGGTTTTGTTCTTGACAAGAAAGAGCAGAGGAAATGGGGAATATTGTGCCTGCATTTGAGATTCTCTTTGAGGATTTCACCGTTGTGGTGGGGTGGTTTTTGCCGTGGGTATCTATAGTAACGCTGCATCCAGCACAGTTTTCTGGAGAGCAGCATTCTCTGTTTTCCTGCTCATGTCATTTTTTTTTTTTCCCCAAACCCCATTTTCTGTGCTGCTCCCCAGCCCTGATGATCCTTGTGCTGTGGCACTGAGACATCCCCATGGCTTCCTTGCTTCCTTGTTGCTCGTTTGTGAGCATGAGGGTGGTCAGACCATCCTTGGGTAAGGCACTAAAACATCCACAGATAAATCATCTCTAGATAAATCATCCATGGATAACCCACCCATGGATAAACCATCCAGATGTGAGCAGGCCAGAGGTGTGGTGTGCAATTATTTACCCTCAGGTGGGATCACAGGGCATTATTTATCTTTAATTCCTTTCCCCCTTCCCCTGTGGTCCCTGGGGGCACAAGTGCCACCCACGGGGAGATGGACACCAAAGGGAGAGGGTGAAAAAGAAAACAATCAGGTACCCAAAAATAAGAAGACACTCAATGTAAGAACACTGTAAGAAGACACTGCAATAACATTTTTATTTTTTTTTAAGGAGAAAAGATGGAAGGGAAGGGAGAAGAAATGTCTTCCCTTCATGGGCAGGGAGCCCAGCCAGTCCCTGCATGGCCCCAGTGGGAATGCAGGATGCTCCCTTTGGATGGGGATGGCTTTCCCCATTACCAGCACTGCTGGTCCCTCAAGGCACCCTTCTGGCCCTCTGGGATTTCGGGAGCTGCAAGCAGAGGCTCCCTGCAAGCACCAACTTTGCTCCTCTGTCAGAAGCAGCAGAGCAATGACTCATTAGCTGCCAGCTCAGGGAAAGGCATTGGTAGTTCTTTCATGGAAAACAGCCTGGGCTCAGCTCACTGGGATGCACCCCAGGATCCCAGCAGGGCTGGGCGAGCTTCACCTGCCCAAGGTGTGATGTTTCCCATGCTCTGGGTGTGGAAATCACTCCTGGTGGGACAGGAGGTGACAGACCTGCTCTGTGTCCCAGCCAGGGTCACCCTGGGAGCTGCCACGCTCCCAGCAGTGCCTGAGCTCCTCGGGAAGGAGCTCTGTGGGAAGCAGGCTTCTCCCAACCACACAGTCCAAGGGAGGGATGAGGAAGAGCCTCCATGGCTGGGCAAAATGCAGCTCCAGCAACTCGGAATAATTTTGCTTTAGTCACTGATGACTCTGATGTATTAACGGAAGAGTCATTAGGATGGCTGAGGCTCCAGCTTGCTTTTCCAGCAGTGCCTGGGCTGGGTTGTGCATTGAGGTACAGAGACTCACACCCTGAGCTGCCCTGGCCGGGCTGTGCCGATTCCATTCCAGCTGCATTCCAGCTGTTTTCCAGCTGCCTGCAGAGGAGGTGCTCTGTCCGTGGCCTGGGGAAGGGTGACCTCAGCTGCTCCCTCACTGGGGGGACCTGCAGTGCAGGGGGCAGTCCCTCCCCTGTCCCCAGTGTCCCCACTCACCTCGTGCTGTTGCAGGATCTCGGTGTGTGACGAGGACAAGTTCCGCCACAACGAGTTCATCGGCGAGACGCGCATCCCGCTGAAGAAACTGAAACCCAACCAGACCAAAAACTTCAACATCTGCCTGGAGAAGCAGCTGCCGGTGAGTGAAGGGGGCTCAGAGCCTCATCCCACCTTGGAATCACAGCTACAGCAGCTTCTCCCTGTGGCACGTGGGAACGTGGAGCTGCTTGGCCCCTCAAACATAATCAGGGATGTGGGGAAGAGCATCCCTTGGCTGGGGAGGTGTCTGGCTGTGGCTGTACCCCGGTACAGCCCCCAGACTGGGTGCTTTCCCTCCCCAGATAGATAAAACAGAGGACAAGTCGCTGGAGGAGCGTGGCAGGATCCTGATCTCGCTCAAGTACAGCTCGCAGAAGCAGGGGCTGCAGGTGGGCATCATGCGCTGCGCCCACCTGGCTGCCATGGATGCCAACGGCTACTCCGACCCCTACGTCAAAATGTGAGTGTCACCCGCGGCCCTGCTGTCCCCTCCCGCCTCTCCCCGCAGCGGGAATTAATTGCTCTCATTAGGAGATGCAAATGAGGCCGTCAGGCAGCAGCTTGCCTCTGCCTGGAGCGTTATTCCCTGGCAATTGTTTGGCAGAGCTTCCAGGTGAGGTGGGCACAGGAGTTGGTGTTGTGGGGTTGCCCCTGCTGGTTTGGCACTGCCTCACCACAGCTCCTGTTTTTTTTGGGGGGATGGCATTTTTCAAATTCACTGTCTGCAAAGAAGGGGTGGCCATGGTGAGGAAGGGCCCTGTGCCTGTCCTACCTCCTTGTCCCCACGGTGCTGACTGAAATTTGGGCACTTTTAGGGATGGTATTTGCTAAGGCAGAAGTACTGGGAGAAACCACACCTGGGAGACCCATGGAGTTCATCAGCAGCACATTTTCACCTTCTTATTTAATTGTTTTTTAGGGGTGGAGGTGTTTGTATAAAAATCCCCTCTTGTTTTTTTAGATGCCCAGGGGAGGCTCAGTCCCTGAGCAACACAATTGCCATTGCACCCAGCCAGTTTTGGGTGTCCCCTGTGCCATCCACAGGAGATTGCATCTTCAGGGCTGGGATCAGAGCAGATAGGAAAGTGATGCTTCTCGGTACAAGCCCTAATTTTTTTAATTATGAGCAAGATCTGGAACGTGTAGCAAGGAAGCAGAACTGATGTTTAAAGGCGCAGCACCAGCACAAAACCGCGATGGGCTGACTTTGGCCTGGCCCACATTTCAGGTCCCCTCTCTGCCTGATGACACTTTAATCTTGTTTGCTGTCCAGCTCTGGTGCTGTGCTGCCCAATATCTGCAGGGAACAGCTCAAAGCTGCGTGTCCTGCTCCCTTCTCCACCCTGCATGTGGCTCCTGTGTCCTGGAGAGGCTCTGCATGAGCAGAGCAGTCACAATCCAGGTCTGGCCAGGTCCTGGGCTGGGAGTGCTGGGTTTGGAGAGCATGTGTGCAGTGCCAGTGTCCCCTAGGGACTGGAGATGGGATAATCTGCTCTCTGATTGCAGCCAGCACCTGGCTTGGTTCTAAGGAGGTGAAATGCTGCCTCCTCCCAGCTGGCCCCAGCATTTTGGCAGAGGAGAGAAGGGGAGGAGGATCTGGAGGTTCAGGGGGCTCAGCAACCCACCTCACCCTGGCTCTGCTCAGCTGTCACAGATGTCCCCACCCGTGGCCTCCTGCCCTCCTCACTTGGATCCACTTTGGTCTCGTTGCAGTTACCTGAAACCGGATGAGGACAAGAAATCCAAGCACAAGACAGCGGTGAAGAAGAAAACGCTGAACCCCGAGTTCAATGAGGTGGGTGTGGTTCTCACCGAGGGGCTTTTCTCAGCCTCAGACTTGAAGGATAAAAAATCATTACCTTGGTCACTGTGTGAGGGATTTGGGTTGGGTTCCCTGTGGGCAGCAAAGCCTGAGGAGGAGGATGGGCAGCCCGAACCCCTGTTTCATCCTGGCTCTGCCTCTGCTCCTCCACAGGAGTTTTTCTATGAGATAAAGCACGGTGACCTGGCAAAGAAGACCTTGGAAGTCACTGTGTGGGACTATGACATCGGGAAATCCAACGATTTCATAGGTGAGTAACACACTCCAGAAGGTCTCCTTGGCCTCTTCTTTATTTATCTTTGCTGTCTGTGCCTCTTATTTCTCCTGCACTCCTCCAGCCCCCTGGTTTGTTCTCCACATTCATTTTCACTGGGTTTTGGTTCTGCTTTTATCCCTCTCCTGCACCTGAGCCTCTCACAGAGCATCCAAGCAGGAAGAAAATGCATCTGCCTCTCCCCTTCTGTTTTCAGATGTTTTCCTCTGAGTGCAAAACATGTTTAGCAGGGAGGTTTCATTTATCTCTGTTGGATGTCTGGGCTGCTTGTGATTTTGTCTCTGGTCACTGTGATTTATCACTAACAAGTGCCCGGCACCTCCGACAGCCACTGTGATTGCAGTGAGCCCTTGGCACAGGGGACAGGGGCACTGCCTGGGGCTGGGGCACTGCCTGGGACAGGTCCCAGACCACAGCCACGAGGGGTGGAGAATTTGGGCTGGATTTCACATCAGGCTGGATGCCGTGAGGATGCTGACTCACCTGGCTCCCTCCAGCATCCCCCTCTGCATCCCTCAGCATCCCTTGCAGAGCTGATGCTCCCCCCCACACCTCTCCCTCTCTCTGTCTCCCTCCCAAGGCGGAGTCGTGTTAGGAATTAATGCCAAAGGGGAGCGGCTGAAGCACTGGTTCGACTGCCTGAAGAACAAGGACAAGAAAATCGAGCGCTGGCACACGCTGACCAACGAGCTGCCGGGCGCCGTCCTCAGCGACTGAGCCCCGCAGGGCCACAGCTCCACAGCCCTTGGGCTCCTCCCAGCTTTGGATACGGGGGATCCCAGGCCAGCCAGGACAGCAGGACACCCCTCAGCAGGGTCTGGCTGCAGGGAAGCCCTTCCCAGGGAAGAAGGCACAGGTGGTTTTGCTCTGGCGGCCGCTCCCGGCTCCCAAGGCTTTTCCAGAACGCCTCTTTGCGCCCTGCCACACTCACAGCCCCACTCTCGAGCGTGCACGTGCACACTCCCACTCCCACTCACACAGGTGTGCACCCCTGCATGCACTGCAGTCTGGCTCTTCTCCCAAATCCTGCCTCTACTCAGTTACCTTCTCGCTGCCTTGCAAGTCAGTGGCAAAAAAATGAATGCGTCCGTCCGCGTCCGTGTGTCCGGCATCGGCAAAAGGCGTCCCCAAAAACACACAAAACCCAGAACTGTCTCCTCGAGGCAGCTTGTGCCATATCTCTGGTGGTTTGTCAGTCTCTGTGGTTTGGGCCTAAACAGTCTTTTTTGCATTTTCAAGCTCCTCCGTTGGAATGATTGTGTCCCCGGTACACCCGGACAGAGTGTTTGCTCTCCTTGCAGGAATGTTGTGCTCGTCCTCTCCAGTAACTCCTGTGCAGGCAGCAGAGCTGTGCACGCCACGCTTTTCCTCCTGGGATCAGGCAGCTTCACGTTTGGGAGGCAAAATGTAAAAGCTCCCTGGAATGGCCTGGCTGTTCCTGCTTCCCAGGAAGAAGCTTCTGTCCTAATGAAACCATGCCATGCAGCAGCACGGCTGTTTTTCCAGCAAAGCCAGCTTTCAGGCTGAGTTTTTCTATAATTTTTCCCTTTTTCATCCCTTTCCAATTCATGCATTAAATAATGAAGATGCTGAGCCTCGGAGGTGAGCTGGAATTGTGTTGTAGCTCAGCACGGCCGTGAGGTTGATTCATTTTCTGCCTCAGCGTCCAAACCAAATAAATTTCTGTGTATGGCACAGTAATATTAACATGGCACAGTAATAATATATTAATATTATAATAATCCCAGCTATCATCCTCTGTGATCCACCTTGGCTGGCCTCTTCATCATCATCCCACCAGACATCCAGTGGGATAAGCTAAAGCTTTCTAGGAAATGCTGCACCATTCCCAAAATGTTTGGAAGCCTTTAAACAATAATTTCTTAGGAAAAGCTGCTCTTTCCCCACGAGTCTCAGTTGCCCTCAGCTTCCAAGCCCTATGCACATATTGCCAACTTCTTTTTTTTTTCTCTTGGGAAGCAATGGAATCTCTGGAAACCTATGTTTACTTTTCCAAGTGACGATCCTGTTACACCTTGTTACACCTTCTTTGATATTGGGGGTGAGGGGAGATAAAAGAAAAAAACCAACATTCATAGGGGTTTTTTTAATAACTCAATGTTTGTAATGCACCCTGCAGATATGCATGGATTTTATTTGAATACTGGCAGCCTGTCAAGTCGGATGTTCCCACTAATCCTTTCTGGTCCAGCACCTTATCACCTGGTTGTGCTCTGAGCTTCCAGGGAAGCTCCAGGAGCACCAGGTTGGCTGTGCCTCCCTTTTCTGGCAAAGTTCCTTTCAATCCATCCTTTTTCCCAGCCTATGAAACTGGTTGATGCCTGAGGTGGAGCAGGACATGTGTGTGTGGGTTCCTTCACTTTGTACCCCAGTCTTTTCTAAGTGGACACTCCGTCCCTCGTCCCAGCTGCATGCAGAGTTGGTGGTTGTCATGCCAGGCCTCGTGAAATGTTTGATACCAATGTTTTGCTACCATGTGAAGGCTGCAGAAACCGTCCTTACCTGCATCCTGAGAGACTTTTGTATTTCAGTATTACCTATCTGTGTACTTTTGGTCAGATTTGTTAATATTTATAACGAGAACCAAAAATAAAAAGGTTAAAAAATAAAAAAAGAAAGAAAGGTTTCATTGATTGGTGCAGCTTTTGAATTTGGGGGATGGCAAGGATTTGGGAAGAAATGGTTTTAAACCAGAGCACTGGGGGCTTCTTGGCCCCATATAGCATAAATACTATAAATGTACTATATAAATACTATAAAAGAATAAAAAGGTAGTATATAAACACTATAAAATACTATAAATGTACTATAAATACTATACATGTACTTATAAGTATTTATAAATATATATATATATGGGGATATGTATATTTATATGGAGAGAGAAAATACATATATATGGCAGGGATATATGTATATATGGGGATATATATATATGGAGAGAGAAAATACACATATATGGCCCAATTAAGTATATATACTACATGCATATTTATATTTATTTATGTTTAATATCTATTTAGTAGTCTTGAGGCCCAGCAAACCCAGGACACAGGGAATGATGTCCAGCCCCAAGTGCCAAGGCCAGGCTCACAGGAAAATCCAGCTGGAAAACACAAATAAAAACACACAATATGGGAAAAAAAAATATTTACTCAATTAAATGATGCTCTGTTCAGCCATCAGATTTCTCTTTAAGTCACTCTTTATCCCCTCGGGAACAAAGAGCTGATTATAAAAAGCAGGAGGGAGGACAAACCCTTCAGATTAAAATAAAGCTTAAGGTATTTGAAAGCCAAGCTGCTCTGGGCCACGTCAGCCCCTCCAGCTCTATAAAGAGGCTCTGCTTTTGGGGGAGCTCACCTGCCCCAGGTGCTGCTGCTCCATGGACAGCACCCAGGAGCCCCCAAACAGCAGCACCCCGGGGCCCTTCGATGGCCCCCAGTGGCCCCACCAGGCCCCCCGGGCCATGTACCTGGCGGTGGCCGTGCTGATGGGGCTGGTGGTGGCCTTGGCCTCGCTGCTCAATGGCCTGGTCGTCGTGGTGTCCGTCCGGCACAGGAGGCTGCGCTCGCCCCTCAATTACATCCTGGTGAACCTGGCCGTGGCCAACCTGCTGGTGACGCTCTGCGGCAGCTCCGTCAGCCTCTCCAACAACATCAGCGGCTTCTTCGTGTTTGGGGAGCGCTTCTGCCGGCTGGAGGGCTTCATGGTGTCCCTGACGGGTAAGGAGAGCGTTGCAGGCCCGCCACGGGCTTTGGAGGGTGCTTTTGGGTTTAGCAGAGGGGCTTTGGAGATGTTTCACCTCCCAAAGTCGATACTTTCGTTATGTGGAACTCGCGCCCTTCAGCTCTTGGTTAGCACAGGGAAGGGTTGGGGAGATGGTTGGCTGTGCCAGGTCACCACACATCCAGTCCTGGTCTTGACAGAGTGGGAAATGCCACTTGGGGACATTGTTTGGGATGTATTTCCTGGGTGCTGGCTGCTGTGCCAGCACACCTGGGGCTGGCTGTGCACCAGGGACTGGAAATTGCACAAAACCTCTCCTTGAGGACACTCTGTTGTTGTAACCACAAGGCATCACAGCCACCCACTGCCAACTTCATTTCTAAGGGCCAAATATCCCAGTTGTCCCTGCTGTGAGAGAAGCAGTGCCAAAATCACAGTTTCTAACAGCCAAATATCACAGCTGTTCCTGATGTAAGACAAAAACATCCGACTTCTTGTTCAAATAATATTTGCTTGAACTAAATCATCATCTACCACGTCCCAGCACAGGCAGCAGAACCTGTCCCTGAGACACAACCCCTGCTGTCCCCCCAGGCATCGTGGGGCTGTGGTCCCTGGCCATCCTGGCCTTGGAGAGGTACCTGGTGGTCTGCAGACCCCTGGGAGACTTTCGGTTCCAGCACCGGCACGCTGCCAGTGGCTGTGCCTTCACCTGGGGCTGGTCCCTGCTCTGGACAACCCCACCACTCCTGGGCTGGAGCAGCTACGTGCCTGAAGGTAGGGGAGACGTGCACCAGACTCCACTGTGTTGTCATTCTTGTATCTTGTTTTCAAGCCTGGGGTAGCTGGAGAGGGTCTGGGCTGGAGTCTAAAGGGTTAATCTCTCCTGTTAATATTTCCTGCTTGCTCAGCCAATAATCATCTCCTGGAGGGTGTTCTTTGGAAGTTCCCCACCACAGGACACTCTTACTGGAGCCAGGAGCTGCTCTGGCTGCTGGAGCAGCACCCAGCACGCAGCCAGCCCAAACCCGCTCTTGTACAACTGGCACAACTCCACAACAATCACAGAGGGCATCTGGCCACCCCAAAACCCCAGTGGCTGATCTCCAGGCCCTTGGGGATGGACACATGAGGTGCCATGGCTGTTTTGAGCCCATCCTTGAGCCCTTATCCAAGCCCTAACTGCTTTAGGCTCATTCCCAACCTTTATTCCAGGCCTGAGAACCTCCTGTGGGCCCAACTGGTACACGGGCGGCAGCAACAACAGCAGCTACATCCTGGCCTTGTTTGTCACCTGCTTTGTGGTGCCCCTCAGCCTGATCCTCTTCTCCTACACCAACCTGCTGCTGACCCTGCGGGCGGTAAGTGCTCCCAGCTCAGGTGAGCCCGCGCCGCTCCGCTCCCAAAGCGTCTCCATGGGGATGAAGAGGCTCAGGGCAGGTGTTGGGGACAGCCAGAGGAGCTGGCTCCTGGCACTGCCATCATGGCTCCCAATTGTGAGAAATGGCTGCTCACTTTTTATAGTTTAGGAAGGTTTATTAAGCCTTATCAAAAATGCGACAGAAGACTGAGTAAAGAAAAAAGGTTACGCAAAAGATTTTCCGCACCATGTGCTCAGCTCCCTCACAATGGAGGTTTTTCCTTTTTATCCCTTTAACCCCTCCCAAAGTTCTGTCCATCAACCCCTCCTTCGCTGTCCAGTGGTGGAAATCTCTCCCCCAAATCTTCGTTGGAGGTCAGATGTCACCATATGACAGGCCAGCCCTCCCAGATGTCCCAACCCCAGCTGTCCCTTGACAACCACACCAGGGGGTACAACATAACCATAAACCTATACAACTTCTCTTAACCTATAGACATGATATTTGTCCGTTAATTGTGAGAGTCAATCCTCCCATGACTCATCTGTCACACGAGGGATGGGGTGCTGTTCCAAGCTGCTCCCTTGGCATCTCCCTCTCTCCCAAACCCCGCAGGCTGCGGCGCAGCAGCAGGAGTCGGACACGACGCAGCAGGCGGAGCGGGAGGTGACACGCATGGTGGTGGCCATGGTGGTGGCCTTCCTCACCTGCTGGCTGCCCTACACCACCTTTGCCCTGGTGGTGGCTACCAACAAGGACATTGTCATCCAGCCAGCCCTGGCATCCCTGCCCTCCTACTTCTCCAAGACGGCCACGGTTTACAACCCCATCATCTACGTCTTCATGAACAAACAGGTGAGAGAAAGCTCCAAACAAACCAAGCTGGAGAACAGCTGGACAGGCTCAAAAATCCTGGAGGAACCATCTATCCTATCTGGAAGTATGGTCACAGGGTTGCTGTGTAAGCAGCAAGGATTTGGGGAATAAGATGGAAAGGGAGGGAGCAGCCTGCGAGCCTGAACAAGAGCTCATTTTCTGCTTCCATGGTTTTATGGGGTCAGGCAACTTAATGTTGGATCACAAGCTGCTCGTTGAAGGCACAAAGCAAACAGAATGAAACTTTTATTGTCCATAAACCACAAAGAGTTGGGCTGGGAATAGACAGAGATCTTTCCCAAAATATAACCAGCGTCCAAGCTGCCCAGTCTCCAGGCGACGCCGGATTTCTGCTGCCACAAATAACCTACCCCTTCCTTCCCTGCCCAGTTCCAGAGCTGCCTGCTGGGAATGCTGTGCTGTGGTTACCACCCCAGGGGCATGGGGAAAACCTCTCCAGCTGCCCCCAGTCCCCAGGTCGCTGCAGAGGGGCTGAGGAACAAGGTGACACCATCCCATCCTGTGTGACAGCTGCCACGTCCTGCCCGCACCAGTGCCAGCTCCAGGATCTGCCTGTGCCACCCACAGCAGCACAGAGGGGTTCGGGGTGGAGCTGATGGGGGGCTCTCAGAGGCTGGAGAGGTCCCCAACAAAAAAAAAAAAAAAAAAAGACATGACAATGTCTTCTTGCAGGTGAGGAACCATCCCACCATGGGAGAAACTGCAGATTCTCACTATGCCCCTCTCCTAAGGAACCCCCTCCCTCCCAGCCCCTCCCCTTGGAGCCTTTCAAGAACACCAAATAAAAAATGAACAGTAATTTTGCCTCGGTGCACAACATCCCAGGTGGCTGTTTGGCCCAGAGTCAGGTGGAACATGGTCTGCCACCATCCTCTGACAGACCAAGCCCTGCCTGCAATGCCTGGTCCTGCTGGGAAGTTCAGGGAGATGCTGTAAATCTGGCAAAAATCCAGCAGGAATGTTTAAGAGCCAACTGTGTTAATAAACACTGATAAATACTGAGCAGTTCATCTGTTTTATTGGCTGATAGAGGGTTTGACAGAAAACACATCCCCTCCTGCCACCAGAGCTGGCACATCCCTCGTGGCAAGTGCCACAAACATCGCTACAGACAGCCAGGAAATAAAACAGACACAAAGTTAATTTTCTTTTTTTAGAGTTAAGGCAATAAGGAAAGGTCTGAATGCACTGATTTCCCAGCAAGGGTGAAAACACAAGTGGTAACAGGCCCCGAGGCATAACAGAGGCCCACCAGCAGCAAACAAAAGATGCCAAAGCCTGAAAGGATAAAATAAAAGATAAAAAACCTCCACAGGCTCCGCAGCTTCACACCTCATCTCAAATCTCCAATCCCAGTGTTTATCTACCCCAGCTGCAATCACACTTCTGTTTTTGGAGGCAGATTCTGTCATTCAGGAGCCCAGGAAAGGCTTCTGAAGGTGATACTGAAGACAGCAAGTCGATGAAAGTGGGTTTCACCCAATTCCTCTATCTCTAAAAAAGCCTGCCTGCCTTCAGAGTTGTCCTATAGATTTGTGATCCTGAACCCTTGAATTGCTTTCAAAATGAGGCGATCCACAGCCAGGCACCCCAGCAATTTGCACTGCCATGGAGGATGATGAGATTTGGGAGACTGAGGGTTTGGGGTTTTTCTTCCCCCACCATCTGAGATTCTCTGCTTCAAACCAAAAATAAAACAAAAATCCCCAAACCGGCCCAGCGCAAAGGAATGAAAAATGTTGGAGCAACCTGGACTAGTGGAAGGTAGCAGAGGGGTGGAATTAAATCGTATTTATGGTATTTTCCAACCCAAAACATCCCATGACTCCATGACCTGGTGTGGGGGGACAGGACACCCATCCCCACCCCTGTCTCAGCCTCCCTCTCTCCTGCTGTGCAGAGCAGCTCAGCTCACAGGGCTCAGAGAGGAATTAGAACAGCTCAGTATCACTGTTTTAATTTAATTAATTGGGCTTTCATTCTCTGGGAAGCTGAAAAGCAGCATTAGACGGGCCCTCTGATCTCCTCTGCTGTCTTGCACTGGTCCTTGTTTAATTGTTCCTGTTAATCACAGCTTTTGTGGCCATGCTTTATGTTATCAGGATGATTTAAGTCCATGCTAAACTTAACTCTGGGGAAGCACAAGCAGCAGAAAAACTGAAATCTCTGTTGTGTTCTGGCCCCGATAAGGAGATCAGACAGGCCATGGGGCTACTTGAAAGGCTCTCCACCAACAGAAATAAAAATTCTCCACATTAAGATTAAAAAAAGATAGGGAAACGGTTCACAGTCTGCTCACCATTTGGTCCCACAGATAAAATAGAACAAGAAATGCAGGAAGCTGAGATTTCACATGTTGTTATCCATCCAGTGATGGATAATTCTGTGCGTGCGAAAACACTCGTGTGCTCCTCCCCACCACACTGCTGCAGCCACTTGGCTTTGGTTACTTTTTATTTAATTAAACAAGCCTGAAACCCAATAAAAACCCTGCCCAAAGTGAGAGGGAATGAGCCTCAGTTATGACTCACAAGGCACCAAGGACAGGATCACAAAATCAACATTTGCAATTTAACTTTTGCACTCTCTGTCCCTGCCGGTGACACAGCCCGGGGCCATGGGGAGCTGGATCTTGTTCCAGCAGCTCCTACCAGGAATAAAAATCCTTCTGCCTGCAGCACAGGAGTCCCACACAGAGAATCCAGGTTGGTACAAGCCTGGGTTGGAGAATATGAAACCTTTTTTTGGATAGAATTGTGTCACGGCCCGGGGTGAGGCCTGTGCTAGGCCTGAGGTGCCTCTGTTCCGCCTCTGTCACTGCCACCCCAGCACAAACACACAAAAGATTTTTATTTTCTCTTATCTTTCCTCAGAAAGCTCCCCCACCTCTCCAGCATCATCCCTGGAGCAGCTCCAGCAGTTCCCATCCTCATGATGGGAAGCAGAACTAAAAACGAGTGAAAAACCCCAACAAAACAACCCCAAAAATGAACCTCCCAGCCAGAAAAAAACAACATGGCAGCACAACAACCTTGGAAACTTTTATTAATGTTGTTAAACCAAATTAACAGGTACAGAATTGGAGCATTTCCTTGCAAAAGCAGGAAGGAAGATGCAAAACTTGACGCCCCCAGATGTGCAAAAGCAGCTCAAAGGCCAGGGAACAGGACAACCTTCACTCCTGCACCTTGAACAGCATTTATCACAAAAAAATGTTAAATATGGAACTGCTGTGCCCATCAAAATTCTCATCCAAAACTCAATTATATCCAGAGATATTGGTGGTTTGGTTTTTTTTGGAGAGGCCTACCAAAAATGTGGTTGAATTAACACCAGGTATCTTCATAACAACCACATTTTTTTCACATTTTTGTCTGATGCTGGCAGGGAACATATTGCTGCACTTGCAATCTCTGGAGAACACTGCCTTTTCCTCATTAGCTTTTTCCACAGCAATTAATCCCTTTAATCAGTCAAATCAGTTCAACACTAGATCACAAAAGCACTAAGTAAAGAGAAAACAAGAAATTACCTTGTTAAATTTAATGAGCAAGGAAAAACAGACACTACATGGGCTGCAACACTCCAGCATGGAAACATTTCAGTGCCTGAGCAGCACCAGCAGCCCACAGAATTACAATCATTTTGTCTTTAATCTGAAAACTGCATAATGCAACAGAGCAAGGAATTCTTTAGCTTATGAAAATGTGCACGTGCAGAATAAAAAGCAGTTTCATGAGGATGTGACAGTAAAAAAAAAAACAGCTCAATTCTGCACATTGACACTGCCTGGGCACGCAACAATGGCATCAAACCAGTACAAACCATTTCAGAACACAGAGCATGGGATTTTCTTCTGAACTTGCTGCTGCTGTTAAAGGAAATCTGAGCTTTACAGGTGTTTATGTGGCCAGAAAGGGCTGTAATTCACAGACTAAACACTGGGCAAGCAGCAGCAAGCAGGTGATGTGTAGAACTTATTCACTCTCTGTGTTAATCATGGAGAGAGCTCTCATCCAAAACAATTATCCTGCAGGGGTCAAAAAAAAAAGGAAATAAAGGTTAGGAAGTTGTTTTTTTCTTATATAAAGTACAAGATGAAGGGAATGGGATTTCATAGTGCCTGTTTTTCATGGAAAATAGGAATGCAGCTCATGCCATAAATAAATTTCTACCACAATTCCAGTTTAACTCATTGAGTCTCACCTGAAAGGTGGAGCTGGAGCCAGCTGCTGCTGGGGGTGGGATTTCTGATCCTTGCTCTCATCTACAAAACAGGGAAATTCAGCTCAGAACATGAAAGCCACACAGGGACAGCAAGTGAATCAAGAGCTGCAGGTTCCTCTGTCAGCCACATTTGGAATCAGAACCCAGCCCCAGCCCTGCTGCATCACCCAAACCTGGTGGGGATCAGAAAATCAGAAACCAATCCTGATTTCCATCCCTGAAGCCCAGTCCCAGCTCAGCTGTGGAGCTCTGACACAGAACAGGGGCACAGCTGCTATTGCTGTAACAATTTGTTATTGTAATGCAATAACAAGCACAGTGAGGTCACCCCCGGGCTTCCACATTTTAAAATTACCATCAATATTTCCAAAAGTAACCAGGGATTTGGGACATTTCAAACTTTGGGTGCATCCAGCAGCTCTACAGACAAAGGGCACCTGCTGAAGTCCCTGCACAGCTTCCTGGTGCTCTGCCTCCAGCCCAGGCTCCTCTCTCCTCTCCTCCATTCTTCCTTCCAGCATCTTCTGGATCCTGCAGGCTGGCAGCCCTTGAATGACAGAGTTTTGTGTATCATCCTCTTTTTTAATTTTTTTTTTAAAGGATGAAACAGAAAATTCTGATGCCAAACATGAGAATGTCCCAAGTTCCTTTGTGAGACAGAAGTTAGGGATGAGTTATGAGCACTCACTGAGGAGCTGTGCAGAGTTACTGGGCTCTGATCTTTAGTTCCAAGAGGAAAAACAGTTATTTGGGATATGAATATTTTCCTTAAAATGATGTTTAAATGACTTCTGCCATTTCTTCAAATTTCCTAATATACTGCCATGAAAGCACAACCATTTTCACAAACTCTTCTTTATAAAGAGCTTTCATGACTCTGTTCTCTTAATGCACATTTTCTCTGTCTCAATAAATTCCCCCATTCTGTCAAATTATCTCTGATTTCTGTGAAGACCAAGCACTGCCTTTCAGGGCTGTTGAAGTATTTGCTTTCCACCTACAGGAAGTTGTATTAACAAAACATTCTTTTCCCTCTCAATTTAGTAGGAGAGTTCACATTCACGTCTCCAGGCAAATTCCCTGGCACTCCACTCCCCAAGGAGTCACAGCCCATTTTCTGAAAAGTCCTCCACAGATCTGTACACAGCACACAAAATAAACCCTTCAACACAAATAGAAATTATCAGCTCACCCAAGAGTGTGTCCCTGAGGTTGTTCTTGGATCTCCTCATCCCCAGGAACTGCATGGAGCATTCTCTCCAAAGCATCATCCAGGCTGG